TTCACTAGTGAAAATAACACATTCGAGGTTTCTGTATATAGTGGAAGTAAGAAAAAAGATATTTTACGACATAATTTGCTTTCAAATGTAATTATATGATAAACAGAATATTACATGGTCGCTTGGAGATACGAATTTTATCTTCTCGTGTTGAAAATCTCTCACTCGTTTGCTACGCTCACTCGTGAGAGATCTTTTCAACACTCGAAGATAAAATCCGTATCTCCGTGCGCCCATGTAATATCCTCTATATCATCATTGGTCAGTTACTGATAGACACTAGTCAGAACTCCTAAATGATGTTTTTCACCATACATTCCTGTGCAGTATTGTTATCTACAGATGCCCATGGTAAATTCATTGATTAAGTAATTTATTCTTCTAATGAAACTCTTGTTCTCATTTTGTAGTTCTCTAGTAATGAGTGTCATGCCTGACGGACCTGTTTATGATATTTTGCTGAGAGGGATGGCAACCTCTGAGAAAGACGTTCCTAAGAAAGAAAGGTAAGTTAATGTTTTATTCAAAAATGAAAAATGGTTGGTTAGTTGGTTGGTTGGTTGGTTTTTTGATTAATTAATTGATTGATTGATTGATTGATTGATTGATTGATTGATTGATTGATTGATTGATTGATTGAGTCACTAACTAACTATTGATTGACTGTCATTGAGTAGGTGAGAGAGAGAGATTGGGTGGGTGGGTGGGTGGCTGATTGAAGGAGGAATCTATGATGTAAAATAACAATTTTATTTATTTTTAATAGTGAATTGCTACTCTGCAACAAGCCTGTGGTATGCTGGGGAGGAGTCGCTGTAGGAAATGCAGTGTAAGTGAAATAACTTTAGTTTGTCTCTTGTAAAACATTATAATATTATTTTGTATAACTTTTCTACTTATTGTATGTTGTGTAATATAATTRATTATATTGTGTTGTACTTTTTCAGGCAACAGAAAGTTATTCTAAAGCACAATGGCTCACCACCATCAAAGAGGTTGAGGCTGCAACTTTCAGTACAGCATCCTGATTTCCAGGTAAATATGGTGTTTCCTGGATGAAAMCTGAGTGCCTTTTGATAGTAAGTTAATGTCATGACTTGTGTTCCTTTCAGCTTCAAAACACTTTTGGTAAAGTGGATGAGAAGTCAATGGCATCTATTGTCAATCTTGCTCCTCAGGTATGAC